TTTACCCTCTGTGAAGTTTAACTTAAGTACTTCGCTATTGTTTTAACAATACGTGCCCCTCAGCAAATAATACAAACGCTTTAGAAAACAAGTTATCTACATTGAAACAATTGGGGAAGGATGATCGTCGCAAGCACTGTACTAGTTTCTTGAGTGCTACTATGATTGCCTATTGTTTTACAACACTCCTATTACTAATTGGTTCCAATGAGTAGTAATTTAAGAACGTTTAGCGGTATTAAAAATCTTTCTTTTGAATTACTTTTATATCTGTCTCTTATACACATCTAGATGTGTATAAGAGACAGATATTAGTGTACTCCTATATGCCTGCAGTCGCTAAAGCAAACATTAATTTGTTATATACCGGTAGTATTATAGAATCGGGTTTTGAATGTTTCAGACGTTTAAACGTGGAAAGCTGTAGGGCTTTCAGGCCAAAAATGAAAAAAAAAAATACTACGAACAGTCTTTACAAACTAATGAAACTGATGACAATCAGAGAGCTATATATAATATATATATATATAATGGGCCTATCGGTAATGCCTATATGTGAATGCACTGTTGGAGAAGCCTACTACATCCGGTATAAATACATTACGAGTTAAGAATGATTTTATGATCTTATTAGAGGATGTGTTCTGTCAAAATATCTGCGGAAACTGTTTGATTTAGGCCTATTAAGATAAAATATTGTTAATAACTTCGTAAACTTGTTATGTTGTCAGAAATATGGATCACTTACCTGGGATGAATCCGTGCATAGCAATACATTATAACTAGGCCTACTCTGCATTGGTAGAACTCAACAAACGTCAAACGGAAGGTCTTGGGTTGAAATTCCGATGAAGGCAATTCGTTTCTCAAACAAGCATAATATCTGCTATTATATGTAATGAAGAGATTACAATTTTTTTAAAAGTTCATATCTCATAGTTTTACCAAATTGTCACTCAACACCATGTATTTATTTCTACAATTGTTTGTATTTTAAACACTTATTTTGTTTTAATTTATATGTCTCTATAGAAGTCTTGTGATTCAGGTAGTGACATTTAAAAAATTGTTGGTAAATCTAATTAATTTCTGAACATGTTGTTTTAAATCATGTAGGCCTATATTATTTCTATAAATAATTGTGAAGTAGGGCCAATCAAAATGTCAAATTGTTCATAAGTGTTTACGATGTTTTTCTTGTGTCCAGCATGTTGCCTCTGTACGCATCGTTATTCCACGTATACCTACTTGATACCCAATGCTAAATAATATTACCCCATTTTTATCATTATCTTATCATTATTTTCTGAAGATAGACACTTTATTTATTTTACAATAAATATGCCTATATAAAATTGATTGCAAGAGATGCGATGATAACTTTACAATTCTGTTGTAATTATACAATACAGAATGTAAGCCTACTGTTTTACTATACAGTGAATAGGGGGAAACAGTACTCTTATCATGGAGTGAAAACACCTTTTGTAACATTTACAAAAATGTCAAATGTTAAAATAATTGATTAATATTTTTGGAACATGCTGAAAAAATACAATTAAAATTTTAGATATACAGTATTATAATTGACTAGGACAAATAATATGGTTTAGTACTGGTACCATATTTAGAAATATCATGAACAATATTTAGTATTATTATTACTGTATTATTATTTTGCGGTTTATATATTATAGTGTAAGATAACCCTGTTTGGGACGTTAAAGCGGTGCTAAGCGATGTTTTGAATGTCTTTCAGTTAAGAAAAAGAAAAAGAAAAATAAACGAATAAATTTAATTGAGTTATTTCGTTGTGTTCTATTCGAGTGGGTACAGTATATGGATTTTGCATTGTAAACATATAACCAGGGAACAGTGAAATTACATAACTGTACGTCTGTAATGACGTAAGTTTCATTATAGGCCCATTATACACGGCAGGTTTATAACATGATATTTTTCTCCATAATAATTACCGGTAATAGGCCTACGATGTACACGAGAAAATAATCACAGGCTTACAATTCTTTGGAGAGTTATGCTTGATACAGTTATAACAGTTACGGTAATGTTCCTGTATGCGAGCACGTATTTATCTATCTTTTATATCATAATATAGTATAGTATTATAGGCCTATATATATTTATATACATAGTCCTATATAATATAATATCTAACTGTATGTTTTAATTATGTACACCGATGTGTGGCTAAAATAAACGCTATATATATCCCGACAGAAGACCTCCTAATTGAGAGTTAGGCCTACTTATTTTTTATGATTGAACTAACGGTTATAAGATAAGCTAGTCAATAACGAACTTATATCAATAACTTTCACTAGGCACTATCTAATTGTCATTCAAAATTGACAACGCTTTGACAATATTGATATAATTGCATTTGTAAGTGGGTGAAACACTGGAAGTCCTTCTTCAGATGTTGTCAGAACCATGTCAGAACTATAAGAGTTCCCATGAAGAATAGAAGCTTATACGAACCAATATAATTATTTATTTATTTATTTATTTATTTATTTATTTATTTATTTATTTATTTATTTATTTATTTATTTATTTATTTATTTATTTATTTATTTATTTATTATTATTATTATTATTATCATTATCATTATTATTATTATTGTTATTGTTATTATTAATATTATTATTTATATTATTATTATTATTATTATTATTATTATTATTATTATTATTATTATTAAGATTATTTTTTTTATTATTATAGCAAAATGTATTGTACCGGTACAGTAATCGACAAAAGCAGCACCAATAAATGTACGCTTTATCACATAAGGCTTTACACTATATTGTTGTTCTACACCATCATAGTTATCAACATAATTTCTCTTCATTAGTTTCATAATAATTAACATGGTAATACCTAAATACTTAGTGTACTCTTAAAATAAAATAAAAAATATTAAACTGTTTCGAAAAATAATCGAAATTATCATTACTATCATCATAACCATCTTCATCACCATCATTACCACCACTACCATCATCATCATCATCGTCGTCATCACCACCACATCAGCAACAACGTCACTATCGCCATAATCATCATCATCATCATCATCATCATCATCATCATCATCATCATCATCATCATAATCATCTCAATCCTCTTCACCATCATCATCATCAACGTCACCAGGGACGGGTCCTGTTCGGCTGAGGTGAAGGATCGGGGGAGGGGTGAAAAATCAATTTATAGTCTATATTGTATTAGTCATTTTTTATCTTTTATCTACTGTAAACGATGTCACTATTGGTCTGAGAATGTTTGCTACTACCCGTCCCTTAGATCTGCCACTGGTAGGCCTACAGTATATAATCATTTTCATTGAAACAGTCATCATCATCATCATCATTATCATCACTATCAATAACATACTCATCATGTCATAATCATTACCATGACCGCCATCCTAGGCATTATAATCGTCAAAATCACCATCTTCATCCTCTTTCTCATTATCATCCTTACCACTATTCGGTACCCTTATCATCATCATTAACATCACCATCATCATCTGCATCAACATCATCATCACCATCAACGTCATCATTACCTCAACATCATCATCCTCATCACCATAATCATTATCATCGCGTCGTCGTCATCATCATCATCATCACTCTTCTATGACGACAGCACGGTTCCCCACTACTGTATCTTGGGGATGGTCTTTATAGAATTTCACCGTACTATTACAAAGTGCCAATCACGATAATTATGGTTAACCATATAAACTCAGAATAATAGGAAAACTTAGTAGATCACAGTCGGTGATAAGTAATAATCTAGTAATCTAGTGCCTAATCCAAACGAGTGGTACATCTTACAAGATGACAAAGCAAATAAATACAAAAAGAATCTCAGGCGACGGTCACTGACGCGTATTGAATCTTTAACTTTTGTTTACCGAGCAAAGGCACTGTGCCTTTGTATTATATTTAACCTCAGAACGTATAAATAGATACAAGACAAAGGATTTTAATGGATGAAATAAACAGTTAGGCCCATTAGATTACTTCATATACAGTAGGTCCCTATTCTCTTTCCAGTAAGCGCACCTTTTCATTTTTAGTCAAACACATGTTGGTTTGCTTGCGTTTGGTAGGCTGTGAATTCAGTCTTCAGTAATTTGAAATAAAAATAGAAAGCAAATCAAAAATTGTATTAATCCACTGCCTTTTTTGTCAGAAGACGCTCTACAAATTTCATAATATTATTATGTATATTAATATTAGCCTATTATTTAATAATGATTATGACAATAATAATTATTATTATTTAATAATATTATTATCATTATTACAACCACAACCATCATCATCATCATCAAAACCTCATCATCACCACCATCATCATTACTATGAAAATTATTATTATTTTACTATTCCTGTAATAATTAATATTCTTGCTATTATATTATTATTATTTTATTTATTTTTAAATTATTATTCGAACTGAGCTTGCACGTTTAAATGAATAATGGCTACGCGCTGAATTATCGTATATAACCACGGTCCTCCATGATATAACCAATGAGGATGAGAAACACAGGATGTTATCAGGATGAATATCGGTTTAGAATTAATCACGACGTTAGTTAATGAGAAACTGTTTAATGTAAATCACATATAATTTTGATGCAAACACGTTTACTACCAGGTATGATACATTTATTGATCGAAATACAGATTTTTTTCCCCTTTGGATTCCGTGTGAAGAGATCGTAACCGAATTCTTACATAATTATTCTGTTTCTTGTCAATGTCCTAATAAACTAAGGTCAAGAGTCACCGGAATGATATGATCTATTGCATCCAAATCTGAGGCTCAAATTCCCATTTCAGCTATTAGTCTGTTTCCTGGGAAGATTAATTCATTTGTAGGCCTGCCGATTCTGCCATGTTTTTATCACACCTTACGGGGTTCTTTGCATTTCAGCCAACGAAACATTACGACTCGCTTTCATCCGCTATATACATTATTATTTAATTCTCGTTTTCCATGAAATGATAGGTTTAAACATTGAATTATTATAGGCCTATGGATTAACGCAAAGCAAAGAATGCTTAATGGTATTTATTTTCATGTTCAAACTGCGGGAAACCATAAATGTTTTAGATTAATTATAATATATATAGGCCTATGATGACTATATATCACATAGTTTTTATTGCGCATTAATATTCATATTTACTGCTACAGAGCATGGTATTTAGACTTATAATTACATGCCTAAGGGTATAATATTAATAATAATAAAAATATGCCTTATAATCATAATAATGTTAATATTGTATCATTATTAGGCCTATTATTAGTAGGCATATTGCTTTTAAAATTAATACTTTATTAATATTATTATCAGGCCTATTACTACTAATATTAGTGTATTAGGCCTATTATTTTAATAATACAGGCCTATTACGAACAACGATAGATGCTTTGAAGAACTTAATAACGATGATACAATTAATAATAAACCTATAAATTATAATGTAGGGCCTATACATAAACATAATAGGATCTTATTAATAAAAATAACAATGATTTAACATTTATTGCTATTTAGTATTATTTCGAGAAGTTAACTGGTAGGCCTGCTCTAGATACTTTTAAGAAGGATGTTAACTGTTTTAACGATGCTCTCAAGATGCCACTAAAACATCGGTTACAAATGACATTTCTAGTAAACTATTTGTTCAGAGCATTATACCAACGGCGTACTCAAAAAAAGTATTTTTTATATTTAAATGGTTAAAGATTATAGAAAAATTTATGATGTAATGTGTAATAATTTTTTCATTGAATATAATGCGAGATACATGAAAGATATAAATATTATGCGTCAACTGTATGGGCTACCATGTTCTCTCTCATTATTTATGAAAACTGTAGTTTTGACACTGTGCATATTATGGCTTCGGCTAATTTCTCTTCGTGTATTTTCTTTAATTGTTTTTTGTTTTTCAAAAATGAACAGATGGTCTCTGATTTACAAAATTGATATATTGATTTATTGATACGGTACTATTAATATCATATGATTAGACATACCCACACCGACTATTTATAGGCCCGATCAAATATATCTATTATAAGGTGTGTTTAGGTGAAACATAATAATAATAATAATAATAATAATAATAATAATAATAATAATAATAATAATACTAATACTAATAATAATAATAATAATAATTATTATTATTACTATTATTATTATTATTATTAATATTATTATTATCATCATCGTTATTATTATTACTATTATTATTACCATACTTTTTTATTATTACTATTATTATTATAGGCCTCATGGTCTCTTTCAGTTTGGGTTTATCAATATTATTCGTTGTGATAATTGTGTTGTGTTTACATACGTTAATTATTTGTAGGCCCAGTTGCATTATTTGAACAAGGAATAAAATTACACTTTCATATTGCACATTACTTTCATGAAAAATGTAGGCTTGTCTTGTGTTGTAAATCATATACTAAATGTGTCCATGTTAAGAAAGAAATTGCATGAATATGTTACACTTAGTAGTGTAATGTGGCATAATGAATAGTTTTAAAATGTTGGGTTGCTGATACATGCTGTATGTAGTGCATATGTTTGATAAGAAATAATTCAGTTGAAATAAAATACTTTACATAAAGACAACCCTTGAAAATGTGTTTGTTTGTTTATTTATTAGGCATCTTTCAATACATAAAAATATATATCATCACATTCATATTTTATCTACTGAATAAACACGTAGGCATATGTATTTATTAACCAAACCCATTAAAAAATCAGTGTGTATTTTAACTGCAAATGAAAAAGGCAAAGATTTTAAGATGACGACACAGCGCGTACGGCACTGTAAGCTAACTGCCTCGTGCATTATGAACCCTTTCGACGGATTGCAAAATAACTTAAGCAATACCATCAGTTTGATATTTAAATGTCAAGGATTATATACACAGTCAAAGGCATTTGACAATTTATCCAGTCTCGATCTTCCTCTGTAGGCCTAGACCTTATATATAAATATCTCTAATATATACACATCTAGATGTGTATAAGAGACAGATACTATTCAGCTTTTACTAGGATCTGTTTTTTTTCTACTTCACTTACTCGCAACTGAGGAAGGACTATAGTGTTGTCCGAAAGCCTGTTGTTTACTTACATTTACATTTTAGCTGTTGCTTATCAAATTTGTATCTCTATCGAGATCCAGTCATTGTTTTCTACAGTATTGTTATTTTTAGTATTTTGCCTTTTAATTAATTAATATATATATATATATATATATATTATGTATATAATTATTATATATATTTTTACAGAATCATCTTTCATACAATTAAAATGAGCTATATGATACAATTATAGGCCTATTCCTACTTCCGAGTATTGCTACTTATCTATTTTGTTTATTACATTATATTTTGTTATATTTTATTAGGTCAGAATTTTATTATTTATATTATATTATAAGGTTGCATTACATTATATCTCCATATTTATATGGGTTTTTCGAGACTTCTTTGATGTAACGTAGCTTGTAAAAGTAACTCTATATATACTTCCTAGTGTGATGCTGAGATAACGCGTATGGTACCGTAATTCCGAATATTTAAACTTTTGCTAAATATTTTACTGGTGATCAAATTTAAGGTTTTGACGTATAGTATTTTATTTGTAATTTTGCTAAACAGTGAAACTTATTTCGATCTGTGTAGGCCTATCACTGTAAGAATTTACTTTAAACATTTTTTTAATTACAGTAGCTAGTCAATTTTATAATTAAACTATTAACCTAGTATATCATTAATTTGTGCAGTTTGTATTTCTTCTGTTAGTAAAACTTGCAAATGTAACGTTATAATTTATGTCTGTGGATAATATGTGTACCTATGTAATGTTTAGCACACTTGGACCGGAGGGAGAGTAATGTTTTGCCTGTTTTAATGGGAGAGCCATTTAAGATAGGATAGGCATAAGCCTATGTGAATCTATTAATACATTTAGTAAAATCATGTTTGATTATAATTTCAGTATTAAGTGTCTGTCCATATAAGTATAGTCTATTATTGCTCCTCTCATATTTATACTAGGCCTATATATACGTATTTATATAAGTAGCATTTGATATCAACATACACCATGTAAAATTTCGTTTTAAATAGTTAAGTTTATTTATCTTATGTTCGTCATTGTTATTTGACAGCAATTGTAAATGAAGTTTAACATATTAATGTAAATAAACCTATGCTTATAAGCAGGCTTATCAAAATACTCCAAACAATTTGTGAAACATTGACTATATAACATGGTACACTGGAATAAACTAATTATTCAAGGAAGCTTCTATTCAGTGTATGGCATGGAAACACAAAAAACAATCACATTGGGTTAGTCAAATATAATTAAAACAATGAATTGCTGATTCGTAAAAAAAAAGACAAAGTAATTAACTCATCATCACATTGAAACAATAGAAATAATTATCTTTAATTTCCGATACCGTAATTCAATGACAAGAAAAAGTTTCACGTTCTAAATTAAAATCTAATTATTTATTGAAAGCAATTTAATATTGAAGTCTATATATTCAAATCCATTAGCTCAATAAAAAGTAGACCAAACTTAGCTCAGTTAATCAATTCAACTATCCATCACTCTCAAATAAACAATACCACGGTAGTTATTTTTTTGCAACAAGGGCTAACTGCTTTACTACCACATTTTTTTTATAAGAACCAGTTAAATTTTGACCCAAGCTCAGTGTTTCAGACTCAAAATATCCTTATTTTGCAAACATTTCAAAGCCATAAAATTATTATTTTACAGCAGTATATTACTGTACTGCATTATAGGTATTATAAAGTCATATCTACTGCACATAAGGTACAGTTAGGATTTATCTATTAAAAGAATAAATAAAAACCTCATTTGAAATTTTACCTCAGCCTCAATTTGTTCTTTTTTGTTCTTTATTTTAAAGCAATTTCAGCCTCAGTGTGCTTGTGTTCTTGTAAAAAAATATATATTGTATGAGCTTAATACAGAGCGTGGGCTTCCCGGGCACCTCGGCCCTCGTCGCCATCAGTGTTCTTGCGCAGGCAGTTTATGAATCGCGTTGCCCGTGGGTAAAGTGTTGGCAAAATATTCACTGCCCCTGATCGTACTCATGGTGACTAGTTTCCTCAACGATTACATCATTGCGTGCTCCATTAAACATTTAAGCATATCCTGTACCTCCATTTTTTTTTTCAAAGAAAGGCTGTTCTTCCTCTGCAAATAAAGTATTTGGGTTATGCTTACTACAATTAGGCCTACACTTGTTTACTAAAACAGTGCTTCAAAAATATCAAGCGACAAAATCTATTACGTCATCGCGTACAAATCCGATGCCAGGTAACGCAAACAAGATCAAAGCACGGTGTGTTATCAGGCTTACTTAATTATCAATGACTGTAAATATTATTGTCAAGAACATGAAAATAAAAATTCTAAACAAATATTATATCGATCGTCATATTGAATACTAACATTTATATTATAGGCCTACATTATTATGTTTAAACAGATCATTCTGTATGTTGTTTATTAACAAGAATCTAGTCCTACAGTACTGTAAATTACAATACTGTACAAGTAAATAGGTGACAATTAATGTCATGTAAGGCGTAGATCATTTAATTAAACAAATATCGTAACTCTCAATAATCAAACACTACTTAAATTACACTCAGCTATACAGTCAATGTGTTGTGTAAGTTAATCGCTTTTCTGTAATCGTCGTCTCAAACAAAAGAGAAGTAGACATTTCTAATAACGAGTTAGTGTAAATTGTTTGCTTTGCTTATAGACAGCTTTGGTAAACCTGGTGAATCTAGGTTTACAGTACTTTAAGCTGTGAATAAGCTCGTACATAGGACTACCGCATCATAAAGGAGGCGAAAAAAAGCATTGTTACGTCACACGTACTTGAATGTTAAAATCCCACTTCAATCGGAGGAATAATGGGTTGTATACACTATCGACACGGCAGCTCGTTGCGTTTGCCCAGCTGGCGCGTTGCTGTTCCATGGTTGTCCAAACCTAGGGTGCGCCCAACTATTCTAGTTACAGCTTATAACCGATAGAGTTTCGTTATCTGATTAGCCACGCGTGGCAGACCGGGGATTATCCTCATCAGCGCGTGTATTGTAGACATCAAAGTCATGTGATGATGGGTCGTTAACCCCATGTTGCATCCATACGTTTGTTTGATGTACACTGTCTGTTGAGCTAATAATATGCCTATAATTGAAAAACAAAATTCAATATTTGATATTCTTCATTGTAAATTTAAATTAATAGATTTAAAAAAAAAAAATTAAATTGAAACAAGAAAGGTTACCGGTAACCATTTTTGTAGTAAAAAGTAAATCGCATGGTTTTGAATTCTATTTCGTTATACAATCAGTTATACAATCGGTAGCCTACTGTATTTTAAAGCGTCATTAATATTGAAATCGCACAGCTTTCAAAACTCTCAACACGTTCTTCCGGGGGATGTTGCCAACTCCTATGGTCCTGGGTACCCCAGCACTGCAACTTGTCATCATACTGTATCCGTCCTACCTCCCATGACCCAAACAATTAACTATAAAACCATATTTTTCCTAACGAATGGTATTATTAAGTATGAAGGTTTCGTTGATTTGCTCGAACAATTGCGTTTCCCCTACTGTAGGCCTACTTCATTGCAACGTCAAGGGGCTTGCTGACAGTTCTATGTTCACGATTCCACGGAGTCATCTTATCGTAGGTTAGCAAAATTCCAAAGCTGAAAAATAACCCAAAAACCAATAAAGTTGTTTTAATTCGTTTTAATAGGCATCATAATAAATTTCTTTTTAATTGATCACTATACTAAAACACGACCATGGCAATGTATAATATGTTACCGTAATTAGAGGCAGAGGGGCCTCATGAATATTAATAACAATAATATTAATGCTTACCTAAAACATTATCTTATCTAACCGCAACATTACATCAAGCAAAATACATTATCAACAATATGAGAAATAGGCCTTTACACTTATATTAACAATAATCACGTTTTCTATTGCAGTTACGGTTGTTATTATTATTATTATTACTATCATAATTTTTATTCAGTTTTGTTAATTATAATAGATTAAAAATACAGAGAAGCATAAGTATACACACATTCCCCTATAATATAATCGGGCAATCTAAAACCTTTAAAAAATCATTAAATGGTAAAAATAAGTCTAAGTCTAAGGAACGCTGTAACCCCCTAAATTATAGACCAAGAAGAACTCCAGTCGCATGATGCATAATGGCAAAATTTATAATCCGAGATATTAGCAGCATGAGGCCAAAAAATGCCACTATTCCACTGTTCTTAACAAAACTAAAGAACAAATAATATCATTAAATCTTTATTCCTCAATGATTAAATACCGTACAGCACGAGTTAACTGGGCAAAAGCAACGCAATGTGAAGAGAACAACGCCAGCCTCGTTCCTGGTGGAGAAAAACAGCGAAGTGCAATACTTTGAAAATTATATTATGCAGTTATATTATATAAATATTTTTATTACATAAAGAAAAAAATACAGTGATATAGCAAAAAAGCGAATAACCCTTGAAATGTAAACGTATTGGTTTATACAATCAAAAGACATAGTATTTTAGTAAACTTAAGTAACACATACCGGTATTGTACGCATAACAACTAAATAATGTGTGATTACCGTATTCATTTTATTAGGCCTATGTTCGTTTTTACTGCATTCCATTGATTTATATATCGTTATATTTACACTACAATTTCCAGTTTTAAAGTAAGTACATTTTGATGGCATTTTATCTGCTTTATCGCATAACATTCATTACATTTCCGCTCGTTATTGTAATTGATTTACGCTAACGCCGCAGATTCTCTTAAAATAACATAAACGACGTTTGGGCATGCTCTATTGTTTTTGTATAAGTTATGAAGCTTATTATTATTATTATTATTATTATTATTATTATTATTATTATTATTATTATTATTATTATTATTTTTATTATTATTATTATTATTATTATTATTATTATTATTATTATTATTATTATTATTGTCAGGTCTATTTTATTGTTGTTTTATAATTATTAATAGGCCTATCATTGTTATCCTCATAATCATATATATTACCATCATTAGTATCATCATAATAATAATTTAGTCACTTTCCTCACGCATGGGACAGGTTGCCAAGCGATCTTAAGAATAGTCTGACAATTAATTTTAAATCTTCTCGTCTCTTAAAGACTATTTTAACAAGGAATTCACATGATCTGATTTTTTCTGTCTTCTTTTTTGATTTATTAATTATATATTTTTTTTAATTTATTTATTTATTATTTATTCTTGGTTTTTGCTAACTTATATTTGTGTTTATATAATATCTTTATATTTTAAATACAAATCTTATATTTGCTCTTGTTTTAGGGGTTTTTTTTTTGTCGGGGAACCACTTGATAGCTGATTAAGTTCGCTTTCCTCTCTCTTTTCGTAAATCTCTCAAAGGCCATTTTGACAATGGATTCACCTGATCTGATTTTCTTCTTTCTTCTTTTTTGATTGATTGATTTAGGCCTATTTATTTATATATTTTGTTTAAATTAATTAATTAATTATTATTTATTTATGTTTTGCTAATTTATTTATATAATATCTTTATATTTTAAACACAAATCTTATATTATTTGCTCTTATTTTTAAGTTTTTTGTCTGGGAACCACTTGATACGGTACCGTACCGTAGTTGATTTAGATTCGCCTGTTTGGTTCCTCTCTCCACTGTTGTTGAGAAATAAATGAAATGAAATTATTATTATTATTATTATTATTATTATTATTATTATTAGTAGTAGTAGTAGTAGTAGTAGTAGTATTAGTATTAGTATTATTATTATAATGATCATCATTATCATCATTATCATTATTATTTTCATTTATTATTATTATTATTATTGCCGTTTATTATTAATATTTTCTAGACCATCTTTAATTATTATTATTCTATAAAGAAGTGAGTACGTATGTCACGTTAGCCGTGTTATAACTCGTTTATTCCTCCTGTAAAATATCTACAGTACTCAACATTTACGATTTTTATATTACTGTATAATAATTGGGATAATTCTCAGATATAGGCCTATATATAGGCCTATATGATTATATATAGACATATGTAGACCTATAGAGCATGTATTGGGCTGTTTCTCATTTATACATATATATAATTATATATAATTTTATATGTACAGCAAGCCTATATATTTATATAATGTCAATGATGTTTTTAAAAATTATGATAATAATGGTAATAATACGATAAATAGTCCTACTCCCGTTAACATGAATTACATCAAAATGAAAGACTGCAAGTATCCAATGTGCTTAAAATGACGCCGACGGTGCAAGTAATTGCTATACAGTTACTATGAATAAAGACATTTCTGTTAATTGATATATCAGGACAATGTTCCAACCAGGACAATTTATTTGAATTGGCATTCCTCACGGTAGGTTTTCTCCAAACAAAATTATGTGTTTCTTCCACTCGTTGTACTTTAATTTATTTATTTTAAACCATTGTCATGACAATAAATTTCATGAATATTTTACTGCGAACAACAATTTAAAATCACACTATAAAAGACCTGTGATATAGGCCAAAAGACCACCACAGTTAAGGTGTTAAATCTTCCCACAGCCTGAAAACGGACAACGTTGGTATTTGTGGCCTTGTGGATGGCTAACCGTGATTGTTTCATTTGCTAAAATCTGTAACTAGAATTAATCTTCCTGGTTCTGAGACGGGCGTGAAAGATTTGTTGGCGGATAAATCACATTTCGGACGGCTAAAACAAACATCACGAACTCTCGCAACATGAGCATCATTTTCTATTCAAACATAAATTATGTAAACCGCAATATGTTTATGTTTTAGCTTAGGCAAGAAGTTACTCATATAGTACCTCCTGGTTTAGGTTAAAAGATTTGGGTCAAAATTGGTGTATTAACCATAATATGAGAGCCCTAAATCAGTTGAGGGCGCTACACATGTAACTCTAATTTATTGTTTAATGATATGAGACTAGAATCTAAATTATAAAAGAATGGCGCTACTAGATGTTGATATTTCTTCGTAAACAACTCCAGCCTGCTAAGTTTAAAAATTAACATTAAATGTTACCATGTTTATTACCACGTTTTCCTTTATTTGATGTAGGCCTAATGCCTTTGTTATATTACTTACTCAGGCGTTTAATTAATGTTTATAATACCAGTTTATCATGTGAATAAATAGCATATGGAATATATCGGAATATATTAATCTTATACATTATAACAATTAAATCAAAGGATTAGAAAAAGGTGAGTGAGGGCGCTACTCACAACACAAACTCTGCCCAAATCCTATCTTATCTTTGCTTAGAAATGTCACAGACTATGTAAACAATTATTATTAACCATTATTAAAACAGAGTCTACTTATGATATTGAGGGCGCTACAGACTCACAAGCATTGCCGATATACAACATTACTTATACTATTATATTTTCATCAACACAACGAATACTAAAGTAACTGTAGGTCAGGTGTTACATATTCATCGAGAAGATAATTAGGCAGACCATACAAAAAATCCTGCAATAAACAAAGAATATGAAAATCAAACAACAACTAATCAAATTTCCTGAGTATGTCAGCCCAAAGTTCGAAAGGATAAGAATACTGCTTGCAGAGGTTTTCTAATACAGTGATATTCATTTAGGCCCGGTCTATTTATTATGTAGGCCTATATGAAAACATTAATTTAGAATGGCACAACCAAGTAGGTAGCTTGTACAAATTTGTGGAGCTACTGTAGTAGTAAAATATATACATTCATAATTGGCCAAAAGTAGGAACAATGAATTTTTGCAAGTCAGTACTAAGTTAAATATTATAAAGCATATGTATATATTACTGCGAGGTCATTTAATAATAATAATAATAATAATAATAATAATATTAATAATAATAATAATAATAATAGTAGTTAATTCTGATATAGCGCAAGTAAGTAAGCTCTCAATGTGCTGTACATAAAAAAAACATAAAAAAGATGTCATGTTAAATTAATGAACTTGATGAAAAAGAAAGGTAGTTAGCTTAGTTTAGAGTTTATCTCTCTACTGTACGTGTAAAATTATAAAATATATGCCTAAATGTAGGCCTACTGTATTATATAGGCATAGTGAATAATTATAGAATAGGCCCTATGTATAAACAGTTTCTGAGTATTTTCAAACGTTTTTTGCCTATAAGAGTTATTTTAATTCCAAAGGATAGATGGTTATTGTTTACAGTAAAAGGGCACCGAAAAACTCGTTTGAAACTCTTTGTAGGCCTACTACTATCATTTGTATATAAAGATTTGTAAGTATTTTTAAAGAAAACTACAATTAATCTCTATGATGAAATGACAAAATAATTGCAGCTTTGAGACTGTATAGCACTCCAATACGCTAGCATTACCCAGTTGGAAACACATGAATTATTGTAGTGTTAAATATTCGAGTCATTCCTTTCATTTGTGATACATTTTTTATGACGAAATCACATTTCATAATTCTCTCTCATTAACACTGTGTCTTCCAGGGCCTCAGGGACACTTATGTTGACTGCAGAAAGCAGTAGTGATCACGCATCTGTTGCCGTGTCATATACTAGTAGTAGTGGTTTCCTAGCCCGACTTACAAAAGGTCTTACG